TGCAGGTGCATCATGGGAAGTGGAATGTGAGCATTTTCTCCAGTTGCCTTAATTTTTATTCACTTTCAGTCATCTGATTGATATTGCAAACTTCTTTACAGCATACGAGTGACTCTTTTACCAACCAGAACATATTCTTTTCCCCTCCCTACACCCTGTAGAAACTAAAGAAAACAAAAACAAACAAACAAACGGAAAAAAACCAAAAAAACAAAAAAACACAAAACAAACAAAAATATACCCCTCCCATCGCCCATCCCTAATCCAGTAAAGCATGACAACACCACCTTCTGATGCGGTTAAGTTTTAATGCCAATTTTTTTTCAATAACATAATTATATAAATATACTAAAATACAATAAATATTTTTTTGTTTTGTTTTACATGGTGAATAATATCTTTACCATAGAGAGAACAAGGCCACAGACATTTACTTACATTTTCAATGGGAATCACCATAAAAAAGCAACAGGCCTGCTGCCATGCATGAAACATTTCTGCCACAAAGAGACCACAGCAAGACTTTAAAAAACAAAACAAAACAGAAACAAACAGCAACAGAGGGAAATTTTAACAAAGTAAATCTCAGGTCAACATAAACCACCAAGCATGTGACTATGATGTATTTTATTGGGTAAGAGAGCGTCACTGACCATATAATTGTGCATGTCTCCTATTTAAACCACTTAACAGATCTGGTCTTTATAATACTTTGAGAAAATGATGGGAATTTGTTTTTTTTTAATTTGGGCAGGGGGTGATATTTTGTTCTTCCAAAGGAAACTGCAAAAAAAAAAAAATTAGTATAAAGCAGATATTCCAAACATTCATTACATGTTAAAAATAATTACATAGTATTTTCAAATGACACAAAACAAATCTCTACCATATAGTCTTGAAAGTCATTTGCTTCCTTGTTTTAATGACAAGTACTCAAATGATACTGTAAAAGACAGCCTAGTTCTAAATGAAAGACTGACCAAAGAGAAATTAGTTGCTGCTAGAAGCTTCATTCCCTGGTTCATGGTGGTCTTCCTCTTTTGTGTATCCCTCACCCTGGTAAGACACAGCAATTAGTTTGGGATTTTCTTCTACTCAGGCTGCTGATCTGGGCCTGACCACTAACATTTTCAGGTTTGGACAATGGTGAATGGACTTTGTACTAACGCTCAGTGAGGTCCATATTCCCAGAATCACTGCGACTCTTCCAGGCTCCCAACTTAACAGCTAGGTCAAGATGGCAGAGGTGAGGCAGGGACCTTCTCCATGAACAAAGAGGAAGGCCAGGAGGTTGCTGGGCCTTCACTGGGTAGTGAAACTTTGCCAAATCTCCACTGAGCAAGGCACCTTTAAACCTTTGTGCTCTGGGCATCCAGACACTGTTTTGAAGTGTTTCTGGACAAGATTTTCTATTGGTGGTAGCCTTGGTCACCAAGCCTGAGTTTTGGGGCCTTTTCCTATTTATTCTCCACTGGTCAAAAGTTCTGAAAAGATAAAACCCTGATTTCCTTAAGTCTACTTTCATAGGCAGGAAGTGTTCATGTAGCAAGCATCTTCAATCACCTTTGCACCAATCTGATGATCATACTGCCACATTTAGCTCCTAACCAGCTCTAGGAAAATCCAGCTTTCTCCAAAATAAAGTAGTTACTGAGGGTGGGGAGGAGGGTGCAAGTCTGTTTTAACAAGTCCTCCTTTGAGAACCTCTCAAGCACAGTTAGATAATGTAGGCACTTAAAGTGTGAGGTCCAAGCAACTCAACATGTCATTCCAGAGCCACCTGGGAGTTCGTCAGAGTCCTTTGGAATGTCTCAAGTACCATAGCTTACCCTGACCTAGACCTCAGGATGGCCACTCAGAAATTCCCCCTGCACTGCCCGGAAATGATGTCAGCTCCACATAGCCTCCATCACTGTTCTGTGTCATTTCACTGGCAATGTGGATTCTTGCTCTGATCGAGGGACTTCGAGTCCATACAGAACTCCACCTTCTGCTTACAAGACACATTCAACCCTTACCATGATTAACCCAAATATTTACCCACTCATTAAAACAAATCTTTACCTTTTTTTTTTTTTTCCCTTTTCCTTTTGCCTCTAATCAAATCATTGCTCTCCATGCTTACATATAGAGATGTGACAAAATCTGTTCAGTTGTTCAGAGTAGTGGTAAAATATTTCAAAGTGTATAACTGATATTTTTTTCCTTTACAAGAAAGAAATGAATCAAAGAGGGACCAAACCGGGAAGGAGGGAAGGAGTGTGCTTTAAGCAAATGTAGGCCTTTCCAACAAAAGCAGTTTCTGCTGACAAATGCCCAGAGGGGAACAGAGCCTGCAGGTGCATCATGGGAAGTGGAATGTGAGCATTTTCTCCAGTTGCCTTAATTTTTATTCACTTTCAGTCATCTGATTGATATTGCAAACTTCTTTACAGCATACGAGTGACTCTTTTACCAACCAGAACATATTCTTTTCCCCTCCCTACACCCTGTAGAAACTAAAGAAAACAAAAACAAACAAACAAACGGAAAAAAACCAAAAAAACAAAAAAACACAAAACAAACAAAAGTATACCCCTCCCATCGCCCATCCCTAATCCAGTAAAGCATGACAACACCACCTTGCCATTGTTTTAATTCCAACGCCATCAGAAGTTAAAAGCAGTTAAAACAGATTGAGTACTAACAAGAATGAAGATACTTACTGTCTAAAATGTAAACGGAATGTTTGGGTTCAAATTTTTGTCTTTTTGTTTTGTTTTGTTTTCTGAAAGAGGACAGTGTATGATCAATTCACAATTAAAGTAGCATGCAATTTATTATGATGATTTTAAAACTTTTTTTACGTTTTTGATTCTTGGCAACGGCAACAAACCACAACATTATCGAGGAATGTAATGCAGACTTTTAAAGTTGTGCGCAAATGACTGTTTCCCTTCTGGTCATGGGTATGTCCAATAAATAGATTGTAGAACCACTGTACTGTATAAACTTCATTTATACATGCAGTTCATAAAATTAATTTCTTTTCTTAACTGAATAATTTACCCTGTTATGTATATATACAAATAGATAATTTTTGTCTCAATATAATCTATCCAACATAAATCCACTATCTTCCCCTTTTAATGGTCAATGTACATACACAGGAAGTGTCTATCCTTATAAATCGCCAGCCAATTCTCTTTTTGCTATCCATGGTCAGGGCCCGCACGTATGATTGGGTAGTTCGGCACTGGGAGTTCCAATGCCTTTTGTCTATGCCCCTGCAGCCCTCTTTTGTGTAACCCATGGGATTGCACTTGGTCTCGTAGAAATATTGCTTCAGTTGGCCTTTCGATACAGGGACTTTTTCCAGGACTGTGACCGTCCCGCCCGACATGTCCACTGCAGTCTTTTTATCTGCCGCTGTTACCCACTCACTAATACTGTCACACACACTCAGCTCCCCACGGCGGGCAGGGTCAGAGTGGCGTCGGACCCTCATAGACATGTTTGCAGCATCCAGGTAATTTTTGTATTCCTCAAGCAGAAAGAGAAGAGGAGGCTCCAAAGGCACTTGACTACTGAGCATCACCCTGGAAGTGTACATGTCCGCATCCTTATTGTTTTCTTCATTGGGCCGAACTTTCTGGTCCTCATCCAACAGCTCTTCTATCACATGTTCGAAAGTGTCAGCCAATGAGGTCAGGCCTCTAGAACCCGCCTTGGGCCCATTCATGCTCTCCAGAGTCCCATGGGTCCGCACACCTGGGTAGGCCAAGCTGCCTTGTCCTCGAATGTTGGCTTCTTTCATGGGGGCAGCCTTCATGCAACCGAAGTATGAAATAACCATAGTAAGGAAAAGGATGGTCATCACTCTTCTCACCTGGTGGAACTGTGGGGGAGAAAGCAGAAACAGGACATAAAATTGGTTAGAGAGTTCTTTCATAGAGATACAATGTGGCTCATCTGATTGTAATTCCAGACCATTCTACAGGGTCAAGGATTTTTATGTATTGGAGATAAATTCAAGCTGTACCAGATATAACTTAATGTCAGTAGTGTGTTAAATGTGGTTTAATATAAACCAGAGACGTGCAATGTTTTCTCTAGATTTAGCATCTAAATCCAAGATTAAATGGCTGATGAGCATGTGAAAAAAAATTGTGGCTTCAAGTTCTCCTCCTTCCTCCCACTTTAGCAGCTTGGTAAGTTTAATTTTTAATGATCTCTGCTCATGCTGTCACTGGAAACACAAAATCAGAAATGTTACTAAGCAACAACTGCAAGTGTAATAGTAATTTTTTTTTTTTTCAAGTTAGCAGCATGGTCCTGTTGCAGAGCATGTGACAGGGACAGTAGTGGCCTGAGGGGTCTGAGTGGGTCTGTCTACCTAACCTATGTGATGTCTACACATTAACAGCACACAAAATTAGGTATCAGGGAGCTATAAAGAGCCTTTACATTATAGGATTTTGTTCTCCCATAGGTCGAAGAAGACTGATTGTTTCCTTAAGCCATTCTGTTTCACAGATAAGGAAACAAAAGGTTACAAAGGGCTTACCTTGCGTCTTGAAGAAAGTTTATATTATATTAGGAACTCAAGTCTCCCCACTCTGGGTCCAATGTTCTTTCTACTACACCTGGGTGGTCATAACTGAAAACGTTTTGCTTATTTCCAAACAAAAATCTTTTTCTACGCATTGATTTTAATGATGTGTCTAGGCCTGGGGCTGATGTCATGAACACAATGTGTCTGTGTAAGAAACTGGGAAAAGGCAGCATTAAAAAGGCATTGAAGTCCATTTCAAATGCCTCCCATATGCGGACTCCATTCTTCTCCCCATCAACTCTCTGAGGCCCCTCACCCTTTGGCTTTCCTGGAGAACACGCAGATCCATGGAAGCAAGCTCAACTTCCTTTTTGTGTATGTGGGCCTGTGTCTCCACATGTGTGTATATCTGTGTGTGCCAGAGAGAGCTCTGAGTTCATCAACCCTTTGAAAAACTGAATGGCATTTTGCACATTTTGGAATAGGCAGCTAGTGATTCTTCCTGTGCGTTTGAAGTTTCCTGGGGAGTCCCTTAATAGCATACCACAACATTAATCTTTTCCTGTTTGCCAGAGGGTTGCTCCACTCTAAGTTTGGCTCTATATCTACAAGCATGCTCTAGGAAGTCAACTCATCTAGATGAAGAAGCAGAATTAAGACATACCTACAGACCAACCCCAGGTAACCTTCAGGTGGTGAAGGACTTCAGAATCACTTACCTGAAGCACCGTGCCCCATAGGAGTAAAGAGAAGCATTCCCCAGCCCTGACACTCTAACTTTCTTCCTACTTCTCTGTTCCGGAGCATAGACTTACAAAAAGACATGTGTGTATCCTAGTTGTTGCCCTGTCTGTGTAAACCAGTAAGAAACAGGACTGTGATTCTATCAGTAAATGAAAAAGCAACTTACCTCCGGTCAATAGGTCATATTGCAGAAATGGGTTAAAACTCTGCAACTGGGAACTGAATGTTTTCGTTGATCACTTTTGTAAGGGATCATATATTCTACCATTAAGAGACTTTATTACAGGATCACATATTTTATCATTAAGATACTTTATTACAATCCCTAAACACAAATTTCCCTGTAGATTCACTCTCACATTGCACAAATCACAAGCAAACTCAGAACTGTTGGAATTACACAATAGTATGAGATTGGTGGTGTGCTTGAGTGCCACTGGGTCTGTATAGGATTTCTGAAGCTGTAAATCTTTACAGGAGCAGAAAATCTAATTTTTCTCCCACAGAGAGACTGGTAGATTCCAACTGCTGACCTTGCAGTTAGCAGCCCAGTTCATAATCCACTGCTCTATCAGGGACACTGAGATTAGAAAGGGCAAATTGGTGTGAGTAAAACACGGATACCCATTCTACTCATACCTAGTCCTTTGTGAATGTTACGGATTCTGCACCATCATCATAATGGACCCTCTGTGGAGGCTGCCATTCCTGGCAGGCTGTACTAAGACGATTGAATAAAAGCCCTATCTCCTAATATTTCCTATCCAACTTCAAACAACTCACAGGACACCTTGAATTTAGGTCAACCATAGAGACAGAATGCAAATTCACAGTATTTTATTCTAGCCATCTATGTAACAACTAGCCGAGATTTCATCAAATCTAAAATATCATCATTATACAATATACCATTTTATCTATTACTAACGGAAAGGAGCTCTGGTAGTGTAGTGGTTACGAATCGGGCTGCGAACCTCAAGGGCAGCAGTTGGAAACTACCAGCTACTCTGCGGGAGAAAGATGAGGCTTTCTGCTCCCATAAAGATTTACAGCCTCGGAAACCCTGTACAGGGTCTCTGAGTCAGTTCCGACTCCATGGCACATAACTACCACCACCAAGGGAAAATGTAGCCTGGGGTGGTGCTGTAGGATAAGCACTGGACCACAAGTTCAGTTAGAAACACAAGGTCAGCGGTTCAAACTCATCAGCTGCTCCTCAGAATCCCTATAAAGGGTTGCTATGAGCCAGAATCCACTTGATGGCACTTAACAACAAAAGCGGGGGGAAAGGAGCTTTTGTAACACAGTGGATAATGAGCTAGGCTATTACTAATCACAAGATCAGCAGTTCCAAAGTACCAGTCACTCTGCAGGAGAAAGATGAGCCTTCTACTTCTGTAAACATTTACAACCTCAGAATCCCTATACAGAGTGATTATGAGTTGGAACCAACTCGATAGCACACAGCCACCACCACTAAGGGTGGTGGTGGTGGTGGTGGTGGTGGTGGTGGTGGTGGCGGTGGTGGTGGTGTAAGCAAACAAAAAAACTCACTGCCAGCTAAAATACTGCTTTCTTTATCACTCAGAACTTTAATTTTATGCTTACTAAAAGAGCTCTTTTAGGCACATTTTTATTCCATGGGAGAAAGATGAGGCTTTCTGCTCCGGTAAAGATTTACAGCCTCGGGAACCTTGTCAGGGTCGCTATGAGTCGGAACCGACTCCACAGCACACAACAACAACATATCTTTTCATTAATAATTTCTTGGTTAGAAAAGCAGTGAAGAATTCCTATATCATTTTCTCATCAGTTCCATAAGCAAGAGGAACAAATGGCATCTTAATAAACATGATTTGGCTTTCAACCCGAAGCCCAAACATGGTCATCTCTGTTGTTGTTGTTAGGTGCCATGGACTCGGTACCAACCCACAGCAACCTTATGCAAAGCAGAACGAAACACTGCCTGATCCTGGGCCAACCTCACTACTGTTGGCACACTTGAGTCCATCGATGCTGCCACTTGGCCAATCCATCTCGTTGGGGGTCTTCCTCTTTTTTTCTGACCCTCCACCTTACCAAACATGATATCCTTCTGCAATAACTGGTCCCTCTTAACAATATGTCCAAAGTATGAGAGGCGAAGTTTGGCTACCTTGGCCTCCAAGGAGCACTCTGGCTGCACTTCTTCCAAAACAGATCTATTGGTTCTTTTGGCAGTCCATGGCACTTTCAATATTCTCCTCCAACACCATAACTCAAAAGCATCAATTCTTCTGTGGTCTGCTTTATTCACTGTCCAGCTTTCAAATGCATATGAGGTTATTGAAAATACCATGGCTTGGGTCAGGTGCACCTTTAGTCCTCATGCTGACATCTTTGCTCTTCAACACTTTTAAAAAAGTTCCTATGCAGCAGATTTGCCTAATGCAATACGTTGTTTGATTTCTTGACAGCTACTTCCGTGAGTGTTGATAGTTGATCCAAGAAGAATGAAGTCCCTGACAACTTCAATCTTTTCTCCATTGATAAGAATGTTGTGTATTGGTCCAGTGGTGAGAACTTTTGTTTCCTTTACATTGAGATGTAATCCATACCCAAGGCTGTGCTCTTTGATCTTCATCAGTAAATATTTTAAATCCTCTTCACTTTCAGCAAGCAAGGTCGTATCATTTGCACATTGCAGGTTGTTAATGAGTCTTCCTCTAATCTTGATGCCACATTTTTCTTCGTATAACCCAGCTTCTCGGATTATTTGCTCAGCACACAGGTTGAATAAGTATGGTGAAAGAACACAACCTTGTCGCACACCTTTTTAAATTTTAAACTATTCAGTATTCCCATGTTCTTTTTAAACAACTGCTTCCTGGTCCAGGTCCAGATTCCTCAGGAGCACAATTAAGTGTTCCGGAATACTCATACTTTGCAATATTGTCCATAGCTTGTCATGATCCACACAATCGAAAGCCTTTGCGCAGTCAAAGGTTAACATCTTTCTGACATTCTCTGCTTTCAGCCAAGATCCATCAGACATCAGCAATGATATCCCTCGTTCCACGGCCTCTTCTGAACATCTTTGAACCTCTGGAAGTTCTCTGTCAATGTATGATTGTAGCCGTTTCTGTATTACCTTTAGCAAAACTTTACTCGCATGGGATATCAAGAGATTATCCAATGATTTCCGCATTCCGTTGGGTCACCTGTCTTTCGCATGGGCACAAGTACGGATGTCTTCCAATCAGTTGGCCAGATAGTTGTCTTCCAAATTTCTTGTCAGAAAGAATGAGTGCCTTCTGTGCTGCCTCACTTTCCTGAAAGATTTCAATTTTTATTCCATCAATCCCTGGTGCCTTGTTCTTTGCCAATTCCTTCAATGCACCTTGGACTTCTTCCTTCAGTCTCATTGGCTCTGGATCATATGCTACCTCTTGAAACTGTCACAGACACAGGTCATCTCTGTAGCATTCAGCAATTAACTAGATTTTATTAAAACTCAACCCATCTCCAATCCTGCACGCCCAGTCTGTAATGCTGTCTATCAATTATAAGGCCTTGAAGTTTAATGGGTCTAACACCAAACTCAGTGCTTTTTGCTGGAG